AAATGCCCAGGGGATTTGGCTCCTAAGCTAAGAGAGAAAGTGCTCAGAGCCCTAAGAGCAGAGATGGAGAAGTGGCTGGCGCAGGAGGGAGGGCATCCTGCAAGAGGAGACATGCACGCTCCCAGGCTGTGTCTGTTCTGGAAAATGGCACACATCAATAAAGAGTGACTTATGTTCCTTATGAGTACATCAGATGACCTGACAGGCTGACTCCAATGCCAAATAAATGCAAAACCCCTAGTCTCTACCAAAAGATGAAGCTTGGGTGCAGAGTTTGGAAAGTGAGGCTTGACCTAAATGAATGGTTGTCTCAGGCCTTGGGACTGAGAACCATGCAGAGGGTGATTGTTTCTCCAGTCCTCTCCATGGCGTCCCTCAACAGGGCTCAGCTCCTCTGTGGCCACCTGCTAGCTTCTCCATCCAGATTCTCTGGGAGGGGGTGTGTAGAGGAGCTTCCCTCCCTCCCTCTGTTCCTTTCTTCTTTTTTCTCTTCTTTTCCCTTCATTCTCCCCTCCATTCCTCCTCCTTCCCTCCCTCCCTCCCTTCTTTCTTTCCTTTTCTTTCTTTCTTTTCAGTATTAGGGCTTGAAGACAGGGCCTTGAGCTTGCTAGGCAAGCATTCTACCACTTGAGCCACATCCCAGCCCTCTCTGTTCCTTTCCTGTCTTTCCTATCCCAGGGCCTAGAGGGCACTCTCTGCTGCCCTCCACTCCCCCCACCTGTACCGTCCTCCTTGCCTGGTGACTCCCCTACTTTTGGTTTAAGCATGGCATCCCCTTGGAGCCTTCCCTGATCCCCCCCACCCCACTGGTGGTGTGTGCATTTCTATGCACTTTTTCTACTTACCATCAATCACAGTGTGCAATAATTTGTTTATCTGTGTGATTATTTGGCTGTAGGGGGCTGCCCTCCCTGGATTGCAAGGAGGGGTCTAAGCTGCTCATCACTCTCTCCCCTGTTTTATTTCCTTTTTACATTTTATTTTGTAATATTACCTGCACAGAATAAACACTTTATCAATATTTGTTAAATTGATGAATACATGATTGTGTGTTTAGGTGTGTCCCAAGCTGTCTTAGGAAATGACAGATTTGAGTCTGTCATCTGTACAGAGACAGAATAGACATCACTTGCCTCCCTGTCACTTCCCTCCCCACAATAAAGCAGGCGCTTGGAGATGGAGGTGCTGACTGCAGGTCGAGCAGGAGTGAGAGTGATCTCTGACCTTGGTAAGGGTCAATGCCTGTAGAGCGGGCTTCTCCCAGCTCACAGCCCCCACGACCTGGCAGTGGCTGGGCCACTGAGGCAGCCTGGGTATTGGTTCTTATGGGTCCAGCTCATGGAACCGTGATTGATTTTTAAAAAGCCACAGCAGGACACTGACTGTTGTATTCCTGGAAGACCCTGTGGTGGTGGGCACAGGTCCCAGCCAGGCTGCTTGTGCCCAGAATATGTGCAGTGTCCTCAGGGGACGTTCTCCAAAGACCTGTGCATACGCTTGAGTCCGCCTTTGCCGTGAGCCTTTGTTCTGTGCTGGACTCTACTGAATGATGAGACAGTGACCTTGCTGGCAGGGACCCTCGCTGAGCTTCCTCAGTGGAGGAGAAACTCTCTCCTTCCACAGCTCAGAGCTGTGGAAAGAGCCTAAGCTGTGAACCCCATGGAAGAGGGGGTGGAACCTACGGACATCTCTGAAAGGATCTTGCTGGCTGGAGGGGCAGGGTTGGGCACATCTCATGGAGCAGTCTGAGAGGAGAGAAAGTGGGGGGCTTGGCCCACCTAGGAGCCATGAGGCCTTGGTGGGAGTGGGTGAGCTGGATGACAGGAAGGAGCTTTCAGAAGGAGTTGTTGGCTTGGTGGGCGGAAGGCAGGCTGGGGAATTTGACTGAAATACGTGGATAGGAAGAAGTCTTTTAAAAGTAGATGTGATCTCTGTGGCAGTGAGAAACTTGGTGGGAGCTCTGGAAACTGAGGTCAAGTCAAAATTTGGCAGAAATGACTGGGACTGGATGATGGGGCGGAGCAATAGCTGAGTAGGAACAAGTTGAACTGTCTTCCTGAGTATGAGTGTGTGTGCGTGCATGTGTGTTCATGTAGGTACACAAGACCTTTGAGAATAAGGTCATTTGGTGGATACTAGCCAACGAAGGACACTGCTAGGCAGACAAACTAGACTGTGAGCTCCTGCATTCTTCTAGTCTTGGTGGAACACCTTGTGGGAATGGTCCCCATGAAGACAGTCCATGATGGAAGAAGGGGTTCTAGGGATGATGTCCCGTGGGCAGGAGCAGGCACCTGTCCTGGTAGGCTGGTGTTACAGGCTACCAGAGGAGAGACATGGGTTTTATGTTGGGGATACTGATCAGCGAGACCAGTTTCCACCTTGGCCCATGTGCTGGGGTGTCTGGTCATTTAAGCTGTGGCCCAGCCTATGGTACCCTCTTGGGTCAAACTGATATGGGATCCATTTTTTTTTTATAAGGCTCATGGGCCCTCCATGAACGTGTTGGGTGCTCTGAGCCTGCTAGCTTCCATGGGAATCTGAAAGGCCAGCACTCATATGAACAACCAAAACTGGTATCTTTGTTCAAATGTCAGGCCCTGCATTGTGGTTGCCCCTGAGTAGGGCAGTTTAAGAAGCAGTCTCAGTGACAGGACATCCCGCTGCTGCCTGCTTCTTGGCTTGGCCTCACAAGGATGGGGGTTTGACTTGTGGATGATGTATAGGGCTGCTGTGTGCTTGGGGGGTGGTGGCTGGGCAGGGCCTGGTTCTAGGGCTGCTTTCGGTATAAGAGCTGAGCCATGCTGGTGCCCCTGGGGCTTCCCAACAGCATCGGCCTCTGGGCCTGGGTCCTACCTGCCTCTGGTCAGTCCTGCAGGGACAACTCATCCTAGAGAGTCCTGGGGAATGGTGGACCCCTAGAGGCCACTGTCTTGCAGGGCCCTCCATACTTGATTTCATTTTGAGTGGGTTGAGCCGAGAACTCACAAAAGATGTTTCATCCCATTTTTTAAATTGACAAGTCATATATTTTCTTTGAAATGTATCATGACCAGAGTCTTATAGTGTGAAAAGCTAATACTATAGAATACACAGAGAATTTGAACTTATGTTTCTGTTTTTTTTTTTTTTTTGGACAGGCTCTCCCTTGATTCTCCTGGCTCAGCCTCCCAAGTGCTGGGGGATTATAGTGTGTGCCACTATGCCTGGCTGTTTTTTTGGTGATCGTGCTGGGATTTAAACTAAAGACTTCATGCTTGCTAGATAGGTGCTCTACTGCTTGAGCTCCACCTCTGATCCTTTTTGTTCTGGTTATTTTAGAGATAGGGTCTTGCTTTTTTGCCCAGGTCAGCCTGGACCACATTCTTCCTATTTTAAGCATCCCACTGTTGCTGAGGTGACAAGCATGTCCAGCTTTTTTCCGTTAAGATGGCATCTCACAAACATGTTTGCCTGAGCTGGTCTGGAACTGCAGTCCTTCCGGTCTCAGCCTGCCAAGTAGCTAGGATTACAGGCGTGAGCCACTGGCGCCATCTTAATTTATGTTTCTGAATAGGCAATACATTTTCTTTTCTTTTTTTTTTCCTTTCTTTTTCTTTTTTTGGTGGGGCCAGAGTTTGAACTCAGGGCTTTATGCTTGCAAAACAGGCTCTCTACAGTTTGAGCCACACCTCTAGTTCATTTTGCTTGGGTTATTTTGGAGATGGGGTCTCAAGAACTATTTGCTCAGGCTGGACTTAAGCCATGATCTTTCCCATCTCAGCCTCCCAAGTAGCTAGGATTATAGGCATGAGCCACTGCCACCTGGCTTTTCTGTGGGGGTTTGAACTCAGGGCTTTGCACTTGCAAAGCAGGCATTGTACCTCTTGAGCCACACCTCCAGTTCTAGGCAATATATTTAAAGTTCTGAAACAAAACAGAGCTAAACAGATAAAGCATGCTATAAAAAGTCTCTTCTCACTTCCATCCTCTCAGTTCCCACCTCCCTGAATGAATATCCTCTGTAAGTGCCTTTCACATGTCATCTGATCTCTACATAATGTTTTCTATGACATCTTACGTAATAGATGTAATAGAATCTATTACATAGATCCACTACGTAAGATGTCATAGAAAATAGACTTTATGTAGTATAAATATATCTGAATCTATATAGATATCTATAACAGACAGTTTTATTTTCTTCCTTTTCTACACAAAGCATTGTGCATTGCATGTGCCGTGCTGTCCCTTGTTTGTTCCTCACAACCATGTGCCTCGATGATCTTGCTGGTGACTCACAGAGCGAGGCCTCAGTCTTCGCTGGTGCACCATTTTCCATTGTGCAAGAGTGCCATAGCTTATTTAACCAATCCCCTACACACAAACATGGGCGGCTTCTAGTCTTTTGCTCCAAGAACCTTGTACATGTGTCAGTTTCTGTATGTGTGAGTCTAGCGTGTAAAGAATCTCCAGCAGGGAACGTGCACTCGGGACTTTGATCGATGTTGTTGAATTTTCTAGCACAGGTGTGTGACCACTCCTACCAGCATTACAACCTTCCCAGAACAGTGTTTTATTGACTGGTGATGTGATGTGGCAGCAAATGTGCAGGGGGAGGATAACAGCTCTGGGGAAGACTGCACCTCCAAGGAAGGTTTAACTACAGCAGAGATACTGGTATCTGTGACAGTCTCTGAGTCATCCTGAGCTCTGGTCCTCAGGCAAAGCCTTTAGTCTCTCTAGGTCTCAATTTTCTCATTTGCCAAATGGGGAAAATAACATCCTGTATTAGTCTATTTTTTTGTTACTATAATTAAATACCCCAGGGCAGGTAACTTTATAAACTAAAGAGGTTATTTAGCTCCAGTTCTGGTAAAGACCTTATGGTGGATGGCATAACAATGGCAGGAGGGGGCTGGGCTTGAGGGTCTCTCAAGCCATCGTCTCAGGGTCTGACCTCTCTTGCTTTGGCAGTGTGTATAACCTCCATTCACCCTTCTCTCTCATGCTCATCAAAGGTATTCAGGAGTCTCCAGTGCCGAATGGCCACTCACTTCCAGGCAGAGATTTCCTCCGGAAGCAGATGCGGGGAGACCTGTTCACGCAGCAGCAGCTAGAGGTGCTGGACCGTGTGTTTGAGAGGCAGCACTACTCAGATATCTTCTCCACCGCGGAGCCCATCAAGCCAGAGCAGGTACGCTCAACCATGCATGTCCCCCACCCCTGCCACCACCTCACAGGCCCGCTCACTCTCCTGGAGGCAGAGGCATCTGGCAGGGTGGGGGCGAGAGCCTACCAGGTTTTACTCAGGGGGGCTTCTCTTGATGTCTGCCAAACTTGGCCAGTCACAACACCCCACCCCTTAGCAGGACTTGTGTGGGCTCTGAGGTGTCTGGTGCTTCTGTCTTTGGCCAGCCAGGGGGCATGTGACTTGGCTGGCGGTTCTGCCTGGGAACCATTCCCTGGCAGAATGGTGTCTGTTCCCAGGGCTGTCTGAACAGGGATGTGTAGTGGTCTTCTGGATCATTTGTGGTGGTCTTGTGTCATTCTCCCATCAGTCAGGGTGATGGTCAGACTATATAGCTCCATTTGGCCTGGGAACTCATAGCCCTAAACAGTGTTATGATGGTAGCAGTGTGGACCCTAGTGTATAAGCCATCTTGTGAGGTCACCTGTTACACTATTAGAGACTGAACCCACAGGACTGGAGATGAAGACACGTCTCACTGGACAAACCCCCACTGGGGATTGGAAGAGAGGGAAGGAAGCAGGAGGACCACCCAGGCTGCACAACTGGCCTGCAGTCCCTGGGCAGAGGGACAGTCACTGCCTGTAGACATGGAACCAGAAGGACCTCCAGTAAGAGGCTCTCAGGGCCTGAACAGGGTCTAAAGTACCCGGTTCAGTATGGGACAGTATTTCCATGCCCTGCCTGTGCCAGACCTTTGAGTGTCTACTTTATAGGCATGGGCAATCCAGACATGGTTCCAGCCGTTGAGAGCTCCCATCTGGGGGTGAGTCAGACAGCCTGGGAGTAATAACTGTCCCTAGCACTTTCCCAGCCATTACCCCTCAATGCCAATCAGGTGGCACTCCCGGAGTTTCCCCAAGGAGCCCTTCAAAACAATGCAGCTCATGCGTGCAAACTCCCATGGAGAGGAAGGTCTGGAGACCTTGAATCCTGAGCAGAGAGCAAGACCTCCAAGGTTACCATCTTATGACACTTGGCTCTCTCTGAGCAGTTCCTATGAGGGCTTTTACAGAGTGTTTAGTCACTTTGGTTTTAGGTGGGGAAACTGAGGCCCAGAGAAGCTGAGCAACTTGCCTAAAGTTACCTAGCAAGTCACATAACCACTTAACAAACATTGATGTTTACAAGGCACAGAACCAGGCCCTAAGGTCCTGTCAGTGAGTAAGTCAGACTTGGATCTGCCTTCAGAGAGCCTACAAACTGTGGAAGGATCATAAAGGTCTCAGACTACAGGTGGGCTTAGTGGTATGGAAAAAGTACTTATGTTGAGTCCTGAGGAGATTGGACAGAACAAGGAGTAGGGAGTGGGTGTAGAGGGAAATTTCCTGGCAGAGCAACCAGCAAGTGCAAAGACCTTGAAGTTAGAGGAAACAAGCAGGAGTGGGGGATGGAAGGGGCTAGTGTGGCTGGGATTTGGGGAGCAGGTGAAAGACTGTTGGTGAGATGGGCCTAAGTTTTATAGACTGCAGAAGGATGTTGGTCTTCCTCCTACAAGTTGAGTGACACCTTCCCTGGGAGTGATGTGTCATGTGTGCTGGGCACAGCAGATGCCACCCTCTAGGCCTGGGTGTTAGGGAGAAGAGCTCACTTCCATCACAAACAGCTTGTTTCCACTACTCCAAGCCCTTCTGAGACATGGCGGAGCTACATTTCATCTGACACAGGAGTTGAGAGATAAGGGACTTACAGTAAATCTTCCTGGATGACATCCATCTTCCCTTCAGAATCCAGGAGAAAATTGATCTGTTGACTTGATCAATTGATCACATGATTTTCAGGGGAGCAGGGATGACAGAGGCAAGCTTTCTACTCCCTCATTTTTTAGAGGCTCAGAGACAGGGCAATGCTGGGAGGTTGTCCAGCAAGTGTGGAGTGAAGGGCAAGGGACCAGGGCTCTGCACTCAGCCTGGCCTTCCTGCACAAGGCTACCTGTGCCTCCATTATGCCAGGGTTTACTAAGCACAGATGTTCTGTGTCACAGGGTCCCTCTGCGTTTCATGTGACTCATGGAAATCCTGAATCTTAGTCTTACTTCGTTTACCTTAGGATGCCTGAAAAGACTGGGCAGAGACTGTGGCTTTCATAATGGGGGAGAGACCTGAAGCCATCCTTGGGTTCATTCACTCAGATGCTCGTGTATCCAACCTGTGCCTTGCATGTAGACTGTAGGCCTGGTGCAGTGTCAGGCACAAGGGGGACAGAGAATGAATCAGACTTCAGCTCTGCCCACAGTCTCACAGGCGCAGTGTGACATGATCTCAGGAGCCATGGACAAAAGAGAAGGGTCTGTGTGTGCTAATGAAGTGTTAACTGAGAGAGGGATTGGAGGGAACATTGAGGGCAATGGTACCAAGAATGGAACGTTGTATGGGGCCCCGAAAGGCCAGAGATCAGGTAGAGATGGGTCTGGTGGGGAAGAGACCTGCTTTACAAGCTCAATGAGGACTTGTTTCTAGTGGTGTCCTTCAGAATGCCACGGGCACATCTCGGGCCGGTCTCTGTGCACTGTGAGACAGGGCCTATGGGATAATGACTGAGTCTGTTTTCTGGTTAATCTGCTTCACCTCCCTGTAGCAGGCGGTAATGAGGAGAAATGGAAGGTGAGGCTGCGGGGCCGCCCTGCTCACACACAGGCACTGGACTATGAATGACATACCCTCGCGCCCCATTCCCAATCACTCCGGACAAACGACGGCTTGAACAAGGAGCCGCAGACAGGGAAAGGATGTATGTCAAGGGTACAGATTCCTTGAGCCCACTCCTGCTTGCTCTTGGTTAGGTGCATGCTCCATTGGCTCTGCCTTGTGAGCCCCAGTGTGACATGATGGTGGCACAGGAAGAGGACCCTGGGCTGCTGGCTGTAGAGGCTGGTCACTTCTCCCATTTGCCAGCTCACCAAGCTGCCCAAGTCTGTGTCTCTGTGGTCTGGAGGCCTAGGTGGGGCTTGCTGTTACTTTCATTCAACAACCTGGAAGAAAGAGTATCACTTGGCCTGGAGCTAGAAGAGCTTGATTTAGTCCTGGCTCTGCCCTGTTGAGCAAGGCACTTTTTTCTTTTTTGGACCTCAGTTTCCCTCTTTGTAGTCCTAGTAATCATGATTGACGGTGACAGCAGCAGCTACAGCTTAACAGTAACCACAGTGATCATCCCCGCCTATGCACTGTAGCATTCAGTTTTCAGTTTTCACTCTCTCATTGGATCTTCAATGTAAATATCTGCTAAGCAGCCTGGGCAAGAGCCCCGTTATATGGATTAGAACTTTTGTTCCAGACCATTCATCCCATTTTCAGGCCCAGGGTTGTTGAGGTCACAAAGCTGGAATGTGTCCTCAGGATCTTTTGTCCTCATGTTGTGCAAGATGGTGCCTTGGGCCCCTGGAGGGCTCTAGGAGCAGCCCTGGGGCTGGTTGGTGTGTGATAGCCTTCCACAGCCAGAGCCTCTGGGTCGTTCCAGGATCCTCAGAGTTCTGCAATAGATTAGAGAGATTCATACCCTGCCAAATCACCCACTCCACCCCCTGGGAAGAGCATTCCTGTTCAGGGCCAGGCTCAGAACCCCCACCCCCATCTTGCTGCTTTCCTTATCAAGTTCTGCCCTTGGTGAGTGGCCCTGGTTCCGGCCAACACAGGGAAACTTGGTAAACCCTTCCCCCTGGTGGAAGGGGTTAATAAAGAGCCACTCCTGGGACCATGAAACACTTTCTTTTCAAAATGGTTATTGAAAAAGCAATTCTGTATTCCCTACATGTGGAATGAGTAAAAATAACCTTGGAGGAGCAGAAGAGGAGAGAGAAAAAAAAGAAAAGGAAAGAAAGAAAGAAAGAAAGAAAGAAAGAAAGAAAGAAAACTGCTGGAGGTATGTGTGTATGTGTGTGTGTGTATCCAGCAGTGGAGTCTGTTTCAGTAAAACTCTGGTTGACGCTGGCTGTCGTGGGCGCTGGCTCTGGCAGAGTGGTCCCTCCTCCGGCCACCGCAGGAAGGCCGCTGAGCGCAGCCTGCTGTATTTACCCTCGGCAGACTATTAACCAACACCAGGCTATTAATCTGGCTTTTGAGCCTTCACTAAAGCCCATAAAAGCTCACAGTTGTCAAATGGAGTTCATTTTAATTTCCTTTCAATCACAGTAAATTATTCAGGTGATAAATCAGCTGGAGCAGCCTCCTGGCTGTAATAGAAACCCTAATTCCTGGCTAATTATCCAGCCCATCGCTGCCAACAGATCAATACGGGTGCAAAATGGAACGGGCCAGAGACAGAGAGACAGCTGGGGAAGGGGGCGTGCTGCTGACCTCCTGGGAAGTTCAAAGGTCACAGGGGGTTAAACTGGGAGAAGGCCTGTCCCTTGTCTGAAGGAGAAAGCCACCAGAAATGTCTCCTGCTCTCCTGAGCTGCTTTGCCCTCTAAATGGTGGCATTTCTCTAGGCTGGTTCTAGTGTTGCCCACTTCTATGGGCCTCCCTTTCCTGGGAAGGGGCTGGTTTGCCAGCATGACTGAGCTTGGTCAGCAGAGAGGGCCTCAACAGCTACCATGAGTCAGAAAAAGAGCCAGGAACTGGAGGGAGAGATGTGAGGCTTCTGTCTTCAGGTGGCTTACTGTCCTCCCCAGAGGGTCTGTGTCCCACCAAGGAGGAGGAAGGGGAAAGATGTGTGACCAGCTGGAAAAGGGGAAGGCTTCCTGGAGGAGGTGCTCTTAGTGCTATGTCTTGAGTGCGGGGCAGAATCCGGTTTGTGGAGGTGATAGAGTCAGCTGGAGAGGAAGATCTAGGCCAAAAGAATAGCATGGTAAGGCCTGGAGTGATGCCCTTGTGAGAAGAAACTGTGAGTGGGTGTAGGTGGCTGGAATAAGTACTGAGTGACAGCAAGTCAGGGACGATAGGACTGGAGAAGAGGAGGGGACCCAAACTCTAGAGGGCTAGAATGTGAAGGTGAGCAGTTTTGACATTG